CTGTGGACAAAAAAAAAAAAAAAAAAATTATAATAAATACACTAATAAAGCAGAACGGTTTGACGGTGATCGTGCATTCGTGCATACATTTAACTTGTTGATTACCTACGTAATCGTTTTTTAAAATATATAACATATATATATATATATATATATATATAATATATATATTAACAGTATTAATTGTACACAGTCTCCCAAGAAAACGGTAAAATATAAAAATCTAACATTCAAAACGGTAAAAAAATTATGTATTTAATTTTTTTTTTTTTATTGAAAAACAGAAGTTATACGTCAATCCATCATAAATGCCATTAAGAGGACGTCGTACCCGCATGTACTGTCCGTCTTTTACTGACGATGCATGTAACATATAAGTATGATATACGTAACATTTAACAATAATTAAAAATGGATTTAGCAATTCCAGTTTTGCGTGGTTAGTTTAAAATATTAAAGACTAATTATTTTTTTTCAAATATGTAGAGTGTATTAGTATCGATATTGAACGTGCAGATTTTTCTCAAACTGTTTCGAATTTATCGATATTTGAGAGTACAATAAGTTCGCGAAGACCATTCCCTATGTTTAATATAATGATTAGAAATAAGAGAACAGCTGATTTTATCATAATTTACATGATAACAACATTAATATATTAAATTAAAGTATATACTCAATAGAATAGTTAGAATAAGGACTTTCGTACAATTGCATATTTTTTTTTTTTCGATAATTTTATCGTTTAATTAGTAACTAGTACAAAATACAATTCACAATGTTATACGAACATATTATAAGAACAATATTTTTAAAGGCATATTTTGATTTTTTTAGTACATATTTTAAATTGTATGATGCATTAGTGCAAGTTTTAATAAAACGTATATTATTTATAAAACGGCAGTTTTTGGTCGGAAAGAGCCAAAAGCCTAAAATACAATTTTAGATGGAATTTAACAAAATTAATCGCATTCAGCTATCACATATAATATCATTGTATTCGTAAATTTACTACAAAAATAAAACAGGAGCTATAACTACATAATTTCGATTACCTACTAAACATATTATGCAAATGAGAAATGAAGCCATCTCGTCATCGTTATATTACACATTATAATTTATAATAATAAAACATTAAAATTATAATTATTATATATTGTATGTAGTCACTTAATTATAATTTACATTTAGTATAGTGAAAGTACAACAGCAGTGAGCGACACTATAACCCAAACGCAAAAACACCTGTATACAACGCGTCAATGCACGCCGGCGGGGGTGTATATAATAGGGGAATAAACTGTTCGAAATCCGTATGATAAACATTGTCTGTTATGCTGCATGTTAACGCATGCAGTCGATGACGATTTTTGTAATGCGTTTTTTCTTTTTCACAATAGTATTATATTTAACTACAGGCAAATGTTTCAGTTGTTTCGGATATTGCAACGGGCAGCTGCGCCATGACTGAATAGTATAGACCGGGCACAACTAGCCAACCACTATCATCAGAATTTTTTAATTTTTACAAGATATTATAAAAATTATTTTTAGAAATGTGTATTATACATAAAAGACTTTATATTCGTATTGCACTTATGAACTAAACTCAGATGAACTCTAATATACGTGACAGCGCTCATTGGGGGTAGTACAAGATGGGGTACTAGCCTCGCCAGGAAAAATAATATTAACTTATAATTTAGGAAATATTATCATGGTATTACTTAATGACTTAAAGAGCACAACATGAAGAAATGTGCAATTCATAATTACCGTTACCGAATAATACATTTGATTATACTCTCTTTACTTATTTATTTTTATTTTTTTTCTGTTATTAATAACATTTATTTTAATTAATAAACTATGATACAAATATATCATACATAAATATAATATATTAATAATTTTTTCGAACATTAAATTATTTTGTAATTAATTTTACTGTTAAGTTTCACACATTAAAACAATTTAATATAAGCCCATTTAAACACATATAAATAGATATTTAACAATTTTTGAAGAGGAAGGACATTATCAATGAATGCTGCCGCAGTTGTAGACTACAAAATATATTTGTATTATATAGTCGCATATTATACACATGTTATAGCCGAACAATCATATTATATTGTATTATGTATATAAAGCACAAAACACGAAGACATCCCATTTTAATACTTTAATAAAGTATATGCGAATGAGAAAAAATAATATATACGAATACGACGACGAAACACGCCGTTAAAAAATATACATATTTTATTCGTAGAACTCGACACCACTGCAGATAATAATAATGGGCGTCTTATTTTAATAGTAAAACATCACTGTAGTACATTATACCTATACGTACAGGTTTATTGAAGAATTAGTATAAAAATCGAATTTCATTAGTATTTGTGCACCGAGGAATAATGTACTCCTATTTCTTCCTCCGTCGAAAAGGGTTAGTATTGTTTTTTTTCATAGTTCTCATACATATATAAATATCAATGGACCAAAAATAATAATAAAAAGGGTATTCGGAGGACGTACGCACGATTATTGTAAACGGCATGCATAATACGCGTAAGTTTATAATAATATTATATTATTATGTTTAGAAACTAGAAAGGGACCCGTTTACAGATGTCTCCTCTCGTGGGTCACACGATAGTTCGCGCATCGAAACACACGGTACCACCCCGTGGTCGTCCTTACTATATACAGCGCAATACAATGTATAGGTAGTTACAATAATATGTGTAACATATAATACTTAGACATAACCGCAACACCATAATATAAAGTATGTTATACAAAACAGGAATAAGACAGATATATACATCAAAATTTGACGTATCCACAGTGGAGTGCCTATAAACAAATAGTCATTAGTCAGTAAATTGTTATATAATATTGACAAATGGTAGACCACATTTTTATGATTATTTGACGTTCAAATTTTAAATCGGCTCGTAACAATTATATGCCCATAGCAATTTTAATTTTATCTATCCTGAATTATCACGCAATAAATAATAATTGTGACTACCCCGCAACAGATAAGCATTTTCGATATACATAATAATATTGTGTTTTTATTAAAATACATAGTGCACCTAAACGATGATAAATAAAGTGATATGCGCTACTGTAACTAACTTTGGAAGACGTCTTTTATTTTACTCGATTACCGTTAAATAATGTTTTATTGTTTTGATGTTTATTAGGTCTATTATTACTTTTAGTTTAACTATTAGAAAACATGTTAAAGTCGTCGGTCGTGCGCACATCCATCAAAATGTATGTCCGTTGTTCTAGTTCTATACATATATGTCGTAAGTACTTAAGAGTGCGGCAAGTATTATGCGGGTCACCTTCATCGCGGAAGGATATCTTTTCGAAAATTAAAAGGGGAAAATAAAGGGTGTTGTGATGTGATTGCCACCGACATGGATTAAAATGGTCAAAATTTAATTAGAAAAGTTAACGTTTATATGTGTAGTTAATAATTTAAACGTTTCTTTTACATTTTATTCTACATTGAAGTGAAATACTGTTACTTTTGTTTTTTTTTTTTTATGTTTTTATACTAAATATATATGAATTGCAACTTTTGAGATATTTATATGACAGTATGACAAAATATGTTCGCATTCACTCCTTCTCATTCAATTGTAATTTTGAAACCAAACATTAACAAATAGAGATAGCACTCCAAATAGTTATCAAAACAGCCATTGCAGTGAAGAGGACGCAATGGCTATTTTTTTTTCGAAAATCTTCTTATTTGGAGTACACATAATTAAATATTCTTTGGGCACGATTTCGAGTACACGTTTCTGCGACCATATCAAAGATGACAATACAAGATATGTCGTTTATTGCGTAGAAAAATAATATTCAACTGTTTAGTCAAGAGGAGCATTAATTATTTTATTGAATCTTTAAGTGAAGACGACTACGACTAAGATGAAAAAGATGCCCCGCCGATCCGTTTTTGTATGTGCCGATGGTTTGACCTCAGCATGGCTGGCTAAGTCTTCGCAGCGGACATGACGTCGACGACTGCGCCGGAGGGACACACGCCTCTGTGGTCATTGGCCCACGCCTTCACCGTCGCCACCACCGACAACAAGACGACGACCGAGCGTGCTCTCGGCAGCCGCTGTTGCGGGGGGACAGGTGCGCGGAGTTCGGAAGATCAATGGACTGCGTATGCCATGTGTTTACGCCATGCGCAGTGCGTGTTGAGTGTATATTTGTTACTGCAGTCGCTGTTATCCGGTTATAGCGGTGGGAAGGGGCGAAGAGGATGGGCCGGCGAGAAGAAAGGGTTGTCTGGTCGAATGTAGAACAATCTAGTCCCCAAATTTACAACAAAATCGCGACCGACCAAAAAAAAAATATCTTATTGACGCCAAAATATTGATTATTCGAAATTGCATTGCGATATAATAGGTAACACTGAACCTATGTCTTGAATCATTATTTTTTTGTTTTATCTCCTATGAGAACAAATGCACGGGTACGTATAAAAGTTGAAAAATTATTCATCGGGAACTATATTTTTGTTGGAAAACATCTCATTGGAATTGGAATTTTAGTACATATTTATTGGAATCGAAATCTGTAATAAGTTTTATTATGGAAACGTAATTGTGTAGAAACTAAAAAATATTCTATTGGAAACATTATTATTGTGTTGTTAAAACTGTAATAAATAAAATAATATTTTTTCGGATTTATATTTTCTAAAAACGTATTTTTATGGAAACGTTTGTTATTGATTTTGGTAAACTGTTCCGAATAAATATGTTTTTGCGAGCTAATGTTTCGTTCCGACAAAATAAACGTTTTAAATAGTGTTCCAAAATATTGTTTGCCAATGGTTTAAATTCCAAACGCGTACGTTTTTCATACAAAATAAGTTTCCGTTAAAATATATTTCCAAATCATTCCAGTTTAGAAAAAATGTTTTCCATACTCAAACGTTAACCAGTAAT